AAGCTACCTCAGTTTGACACCCTGATAAYCAAGTGTAAAATCTCTTTATTTTCAGAAATTGTTAACTTATCATTTGCATTCTTGCCTTAGGTTTTATCCGTCGACTGTTCCAAGAGTATTTGCACCTCCTTCGAAGCCTTCGATTCTAAGGTGGCAATCAATTCCTTGAGAAGTATTTGTATTTCTAACATTCCAAATGAACTAATCTAATAGACTATCATTTGGTCGTCATTTGTATTATTATTTTTTTTTTCTTCCAAATCTAAAAGTCGAAATTAAAAAATGTGTTTTGTTTCTGTCAAAATATGCGTTTAATATGTGGGTTACAAATCTCAACAGAATACCAACTAGACAGAGACTACATGATTAGGGAATAGCTAGCCAATACCTCTGATTGATACCATAAACTAGAGATTATTTGTTTCTCTCTTGCTCTTTCTCTTCCCAGATTCGGATCCAGGTCTTCTCAAGAACATCACCTGTTGGGTGTAATAAATTCACTCAGCTAGACACCACTATAACGCAGTTCATAAGARAGATGCTGAGCATTTTAGAGACATGCTTCGCCAGTCGCTTTCTTCGCTTCAAAGAGCTTTTGGCAGTCCATGACCACTGACCATGTCATTGCATTCGACATAACTAATGACCACTGACYAARAGTCTTAACCAGCGACGACATCTGGTTTATAGATTAGCAACTGACCGACGGCCTTAACACCAARTTAACCAKTGGTTTAGCAATGCCACTYAATTAACATATTTCTAGAGGAAATATGTTAAGGATCGACATGACGTCCCTAAACCGACTTAAGGACCGACATAATGTCCTACTATGGACCGACATAACGTCCTACTATGGACCGACGAAAGARAGGCCCAGTCCAATAAGGACTAGGGTTTGCAAAAAACTATATATACGAAAGTCCCAACACCAAGAGGGGGGATCACAACACACACCCAATAAACCCTAGACTCTTGCCGCTTCTCAACGACGAGCGACAAGAACAACGAGCGACCGACACGCCTTGCGATTTTTTATTGATTCTTTGTAATTCTTATCGAAACTCATTGATCAATAAAGTCAACAACTTCCTGTCATTCCGTAGTGCTGTGTTCTATTCGATCCGGTTAAATTTTGCACAAACAGTTTGGCGCTAGAAGGAGGGGCCAACAGCTTCACCTACGTGAGATATGACAGGCGAAGACAATATCGTGGTTACGACAGGAGATAACAACACTCAAGATCCTGCTGCTCAACTGGCGGAACTCACCGCCCAGATGAAACGGGCCGAAGAACGAGCAGCGTTGCTCGAAGCAGAGAACGCTACGCTGAAGACTACAAACGAGTCTCTACTTGCTGCAAGCAGAGACACCGAGCTCGAAGCTCGAAACCGATACCAGAGACGCGTCGATCCGATGCAGTCACTCGAGSGGACTACACCAACTGCCGATGCAAGGACGGTGACTACACCTCCAGTGGGTACAAGGACGGTGCGACTTCCAACAYGACCTAGTGTAWCTGCCAGCGATGCGGCTAGAGATGCGGTTCAGGCGCACGTCGRCCGAARTTTMCTTAACCCTAGCGAGACAACGACAACCCGATCAACAGACGATCCACACCTAGTCCTCAGACGTCTTGAGGATATAGAGGCGATGATCCAGCGACTCCCCGGTGTAGCACCACCGATAACAAAGAGCGCCCCCAACTGTTACGCAGACACTCCGTTCACGGACGAGATTGCACTCGTAGAGATGCCAAGAAAGTTTGCGGTTCCCTTGCTGACAATGTACGACGGGACGACAGATCCTGACAACCACATTGCACAGTATAAGCAGCGCATGTACACAACTGCAATTGCAAAAGAGTACAGAGAAGCTAGCATGTGCAAGGGATTTGGTTCAAATCTTACTGGACCAGCTCTTCAGTGGTTTACGAACCTACCAAACGCTTCGATAGATTRTTTRGCTTCACTGACCGATCGTTTTGTCGAACAGTTCGCAAGCAGCCGCAACTTGGTAAAAACGGCTGATGACCTTTATGAGGTAATCCAGAGGAAAGGGGAGTCACTACGTAGTTATGTGGGACGTTTCAACAAAGAAAAAGRGTCCATCCCAAGTTGCGTCACGTCTACCGCCATCTCTGCTTTCAAAAGAGGTCTACTCCCAGATGGCGACCTGTACAAGGAACTGACCAAGTATCAGTGRAAGACAATGGAAGACGTGCTCTCAAGAGCATGGGRGCAGATTAAGTGGGAGGAAGATCCCGTTTATCATTACCAGCGMTCCCCGCATAACGAGTCACGAGTGGCAASGAATGAGAGGTCTACCAGAGATGATAAACCTTACCAGAGACCTCGTAATGAGAGCGGTAGTGGCAGAAGCGACAGCAGAAGTAATCACCGACCATTCAGCAGGAATGACAATGAGAAGCGACAACCTACAACGTGGCCAGACATAACAAACATATCAATCTCCGACGGAGAGTTGGTCGGTGCGTTGAAACAATTGGGTGAAGAAGTAAGATGGCCTCAGAAGATGAAAACGCCAGGTAATCAACGCGACACTACGAAGTGGCGTGAATTTCATAGGGACCATGGTCATCGAACTGAAACTTGCATCTCCTTGAGAATGGAGGTAAACGAGCTCCTAAAGAAAGGTTACTTACGTGAATTTCTGTCTGACAAGGCAAGAAATCGTTACGACGAGAGGAATGAGGACAAAGCACCAAAGAACCTTGGACCTGCTTCACCACCGAAGCACGACAGGACTATTAATGTAATCTCGGGAGGTTCAGAAGTCAGTGGTATAACACATTCGGCTGCTAAGAAAAGTACAAGAAGTGCAAGGAAGCATCAGCCAAGAAACGATGTTAGAACTGAGGCT